TTAATTGGCCATTTCTTTTTAAAATTGTTTTAAAAACCAGATTAAAATATCCCTTAGGCCAGACCTGCTAGCTTAAATAGCCATGTCTTGAGGGCGCGGCGGAAGGAGGGGAGATCCGGAATCACCCGGATCTCTGGGGGTAGTTCGTTCCATAGGGTGGGGGCTCCAACCGAGAAGGCCCTCCCCCTGGGGGTCGCCATCCGGCACTGTCTGGCTGACGGCACCCTGAGGAGACCCTCTCTGTGGGAGCGTATCGGCCGATGAGAGGTAATCTGCGGCAAAAGGCGGTCTCGGAGATAACCAGGTCCGATGCCATGGAGCGCTTTAAAGATGATAATCAACACCTTGAAGCGCACCCGGAAAGCCAACTGGGTGACTCTGAGCCAGTCACTCTCTCAACCCAAACCCTCTCACAATGTTGTGGGGAAAATGGGAGGAGGAAGGTATGTTGGATATGTTCGCTGCCTTGTTTGTAAAAATAATAAAGGTGGGATACAAATAAATAAACAATAAGAAAAAAAGTATAACGTAGTGAGAACTTCCTTTAGATTATTTGTATTTTAAACTTGGAACTTTTGTGTTCCCACAGAGACAAGTGAAGGTGTGCAGAGAATGAATAGTTATTTGTTCTTGATTGCTTAGAATAGGAAAATCAAGCACAAAATCCTATTTCCTTCCAACCAGTATAAATGGTTATTTGCAACAATCAAAGAACATGAGCTTAATAATATAATTGTTTTTAAGAAAAATATGCATGCCAATTTTCAGTTGGCAAGCTGTTAAAATATATATGCAATGTATCCATATGACTCAGGAAAATTGGTTTATAATTTTGAATGCTATTATTTAGTTGTTTCGCCTTTTCAGCTTGTGGTTTGTGAAATTCCTTATGATAAATGTGTGCAACATTCTAAACCTGTTGCTTTTTCTAATGTTAATAAATTAGCAATCAGATTTCATAATATTATTATTTTGCATTTATTTATATCCATTTCTCCATTATGTGTATTAACTTAACATTGTATGGTTTGTTAATTCAGTATCCTTTTTTTCTTCCCATAGTTCAGATTCATATATCTTTTGCCTTTACAAAATCTTCCAGCATTTGTTGTTCAGCACAAGTATTTTAAAGGATATGCCATTGAAATACTGCTATGCTGGAATAAATGTTTCCAAATCTCTTGATAATAAATGCTTGAAAATCTCTTTCATGCGGATAAGATAAGANTTGTTAATTCAGTATCCTTTTTTTCTTCCCATAGTTCAGATTCATATATCTTTTGCCTTTACAAAATCTTCCAGCATTTGTTGTTCAGCACAAGTATTTTAAAGGATATGCCATTGAAATACTGCTATGCTGGAATAAATGTTTCCAAATCTCTTGATAATAAATGCTTGAAAATCTCTTTCATGCGGATAAGATAAGATGAAATTGCACTCTATTTATATTTAATATTACATTTTTAACTGAATTGTATAAACATATCAGAAAGTAATAAATGACTATATTCCAAAGAAGATTTTGAAGACATGTTATACATAGCATTAACTTGAAATAATTGTACCCTTGAAATTAGTTTTTATTTTTTTCTTTTCAGAAATATTAAAAGAGAAATCTTACTAAAAATGAGTCTTATCAAGGAGTCTGAGTACATCTGAAACTTTAATAGCCTTTATTAAAATGAACAAGAAATCTCTTATTTGATCTAAAACTCACATTTTCGAATCTGATATTTGCTCCTCTCCTTTTCTTCTCAGCTTTCCCCAGCTTTACAGTCTAGAAATCAATCATTATTTAGTTTTACTTCTCTCCTTCTATTGCATTGTATGACAGAGGTCCTAAATCTTTCTTCCTATATTGTAATTTAGAGATCTTCGACAGCTTACCAGAACACTCATTATTGATTCTTTTTCTCTTGCCTTTAAAAAAAAGGAAGAAAAACTTAAGAACCATCTTTTTGATTGTGAAATGTTTGTATCTGTGCCCTCTTTAAAATATATGTTTGTAGTTTTTAATTACTATTTATTTGCCATCTTGAAATAGATGGTTTTATCTAATGATTAACATGTTTTTTGCAAACTCTTGCTAGAAAAATATAAAGAACATTAAATACTAATAGAAGAGAATATTAAACATAAAATATTTGCCATACGAATGGGGCCTGTTGCCCTCTGCAAGTACTAGCAATGCTCTTTGCTGAATTTCAGAATCTTGTTGAAGACATTTCATGTTGTATAGTTGATTTTTAAAAGATGGTAGGGGTTGCTGGTAAAAAATCAATGTTACCGCAGCTCATATTAAGTTATTTAATATTAATCATATTGTTTAAACTGATCAAAGTGAAATCTCAGTTGTACTTTATAACAAAAAAGGTGGAGGATTGGGAATTGTGAAAGTACATGGCTTTAAAAGTAATACAGCTTGTTTATATTCACAGTTGTCCATATTATATTTTAGATACAATGAGAATAAGTAAAATTGTTCATGTCAAAACATGCTCTGATTCTATAAGCACAAATCATTATCCCATACATGTAGCTGAGGGGCATTATATTTACTTTTTCTCCAGCAGTTTTCCCCACTGAACCTCAACACAAATTCTTCAGTTCAAAGCTTGACAATTGGCATAAAATAACAAAGAAGACTGTCTAGTAGTACACATAGGTTTTTCACACATAAACCTGTTCACCAAAGCAAATGTTTGCTCCCTTTGAGAAATAGAATAGTAAATTATAGCAAAAAACTGTCAAATTAATCTTTCTTGACAGCGATACCATTCACCTTGTTCATAAAGATGTTAAAAATACTGAACCAATGTTCTGTTTTGCAGAATATTGTTACAAGCAACTGAATATAATATGAAGAGGTTTCTCCTTATTTTTGAAATGATGGTTTTTATAGTATATTGTCCTTTCAGTTTCTCAAGCTCAGAAACAGAATGGAAAGGAAATAACTATAGTTAATAATCATTTTGTACTTACTTCAAACTGCTGGCCCAGATTACTTTAATATCACTGAATTTAGAAAAAATCATCTTCCATTACAAGCTTAACTCCATATTTAGGTTTTCAGTTCAAGTCTGAAAGGACCCTGGCTTCATTCACTAGAAGGAACCTATGTGATACTTTACCCAGTTTTTGTTTATTGCACTCTTTATTTAATGTTTTTTTTTCTCGATTCTGTTACCGGTTTTGCAAGTTACTTTGGAACAAATGTGTTAACATTCCATCTCTTTTTAACCTGACATCAGCATGTGCTTTTAATAGAAGAACATTTTGCCTCAGTGTTTTCTGCTTTGATTCCTCATAATCAAAGCAAAGCTAAAACATAATGGCTGTCTTTATTTTTCAGGTCACTGAGTCAGGGTAGCACAAATTCAAACATGTTGGATGTTCAAGGCGGTGCTCACAAAAAACGTGCTCGGCGCAGCTCTCTTTTAAATGCAAAAAAGTTGTATGAAGATGCACAGATGGCCAGGAAAGTCAAACAGTACCTATCCAACCTAAATGTGGAAACAGATGAAGAAAAAATCCAGATAATGTCACTTCAGTGTGAGCCTACATACAGCACTTGTAAGTTTTAAAAAAAAAAGTTTGGGAGGGTTGATGTTTTCACTAAATAAATATGAGAATAATTTAAAACAGAACGTTACACAGAATTTTCTGAAAAGCCTGATATGTATTATCATGTAATTATTTGACTTTTGATTGAGTCGGCATAAAATTGAAAAGGTTCTTTTTACTAGTAATCTTTGTGTTTGCCAAAATTTTCTTAGCACATTGGACTGTTGCCAAGTTAGCACTTTGCAGAATTAAGGAATAATAAAAGTAAAATAGTATGAATGCCAAGAAAAAGAAAGGATGAAATATCATCACAAAAGAACATTAATTATACCATTATAATGCAAAATTGGGAAAATGGATTTCTTATTAGCATAGATTTAGTATGTAAATAGTACTACAATCAGACAATTAGAATGCATTTATGTATATTACAGTAATAATAAAGCTTATACACATTTTGGTAATTAATTCCAAAATGTAGTTTTCAGTTCCTATATAAAAAGAATAGCAGAAATGCAAAAATGATGTTTGAATCCATAATTGATATTTAATTTTAGAAATTACTTAGTTTTATACAAATGACAGATCATCAAGCATTACATGGTTATTAGCCATTTTCTTGGAAGTGGACCTTGCTTGATGCTCTGCTATTTGTATACATTTCAGTAAAGGGTGAATATATTGTATATTTCATTGTATGCTCTATATTAGCAACATCCTCATAATTTGTAGTAATATCAGGTCTTCAATTCACTGAGTACTTAGGACTATACTTTTATGTTTCTAATGTTAAAACCTTAGTCTCTTAGGACTAAGAGACTATTGTTCCTGGTGGCATAGCAACAAATTTGGAATTCAGTATGTGTTAGTACTTGTATAAAACAGTAATGAAAAATGAAATACAACAACTTGTTGTGAGTTAAGTATGCCACCTAGTGGAAATGTGGATAACAGCTTTTGAGGAATAAATATATGCCAGATTTTTTAATTCAGATCAGGAAACTGGATTTAGATTTAGTTATAGGAGAGTGGACCTATGGCCATCAGTGGGACTCTATTTAATCATAGTTGTGTTATATTCTCCTGATTTTGGTGGCACAACTTAATGTATAATTGGCTCCAGAGGTACTACACGCAACATGTCTTTTACTATTTCAATAGGCATCCCATTTAATATTTTAATTGTGATGCTTGGATGTGTTACTCTTTTTCTTTCCAATGTCAGTGACAAAAAATTTAAGTGAAAGACGAGGTACGAAAATATCAGAGATGTCTCCGATGCCACTGAGGTCTGTTGGCCAAACCACAAAAGCCCACTTACATCAGCAAAACAGAATGAGTCAAGTTCTTCAAGTTCCAGCAGTTAATCTCTATCCTATTCGGAAAAAAGGACCAGCCAAAGACCACGTTGCTTTTAGTGAGTATTTTTTCTTCACAAATAAATTGAAAGTCTTTATAAAACTCTGGCCAAAGTTGAATCTAATCTTGCAGTTTGTTAGTCTTAACTTCTGCAGTTTTAATCTGCATTGCATACAAGTATTTTCCGACTTCTTGGACTTGAAATACATCTTGGGTCTAAGAAAAGAGATTTACAGATGATGTCCAGGAATAATCATCAAATCACCTTGAATGTCTAGGGAGATTCTCAGTCATCCAGGTCAGGGTTGTCCCAAAGGTGCTTTTTCAAAAGACAACTGGACTTTGTTCTTCCTTGAAGACGTTTCAAGAAAACTGAAGAAGCTTCTTGAATGAGAAGCGAAACGCCTTCAAGGAAAAACATAGTCCAGTTGCCTTTTGAAAAAGCACTTTTGGGAAAATCACCTAGCACTCTCCTTGATGGAGATTACATCTTGCCCTAATAATCAAAAATAATTAATTTATCTGGCCAGTAAATGTACAAAACTATTTCAGAGCACATACATTTATCTTTGTTTCATTATCATAAATTTAGGCAAATAAGCTAATATTATATATGAAGAATAATCCCATACATTCAAATAATCTGCAAGCCTTTGTTTAATAGTTTGACAAACTGTAGTTTGAAACAACTCTGAAAACATTTTCTTTTTCAAAATCAGATAAATCTAATTTGGATTTTTCTTCCTGTCCTGTAGCAATGCCCGTTTTCATGTTTTGATTGCAAGTGGAAGATTCCCAGTTACATATAAAATTTGATTTGGAATTAAAATTATAGTGGGAGTTATTTCATATGGGGAATATATTTCAAAACTGTACTTTTGAAGTCCTAGGATAGCGCTAGGATTCAAAGTAGAGGTATTATATATGGAGAGAAGAGAAAGTAGCACACAATATTGACAACCCCCCCCCCCAAGTGAATTTAATAAAAGTGCAGCTGGTATTCTACCATTCTTCAGGCTCCTTGTCAAATGGCAAATGTCATTCAGAACTGGACTCTTTCTAAGTCTACTTCACTATTTTTGACAGCCAAACTTACCTAATATCATGCAACTTGAATCTTGTTATTGTTGTTATTTACATATAGCTGATACATGGGTTTGTTGACAGCTGCCTATAAGTCACAGTCAAGCAACTGCTGGCCATGTGCTTGGAATGTGATCTCATCAAGAACTATCTGGCTTAAGCTATTTAGTTTAAGAGAAGGGAAGTGACAGGAAGCAGGAAGAAGGATGAAGGAGTGACTGATATGTAGCTGTATTTGTACAGAATTTTAAAAGTAACTTCCTTTCATAAGGGCAGATTAAACAGCAACCAGCTTTCTTACATAACATGGTAAAAGATGTTTAGAATAAGGGGTATCATCGAATAGTTTAATTCTGTTAACCCTTGTGTGTAGGGTGGGGTGTGCCACTTTTGTGCCACTTTTTTCTTGCAGAGATAGTTGAGAGAGCTGCATCTCTATCCTATTGAGGTCTGGATTTCTGTTGGTCAAAAATATATTTTTTCTTCAGTATTTTTTTTAAAAAGGCCAAATTAAGTAGAACTTTTAAAATTACAACCCATATAATAGGCTCTTAATATTAAAATGAATATGATTAATTCAACTCTCCAACAAAAAGGAAAAAGTTTTTGAACAAATTGTACAAGATGAATTTAGATATAATTATGTTGCAAGAAGTCCATATAAAAAAACAACATCAATATCTATTGAACTGCCCTAAATTGGGGAATATGTTTGCGGCACTGTCACAATACAAGAAAGGAGGAGTGGTAGTATATATTAAGCAAGAAATCTCGG